TTTATTCCCTTTTTCTCAAATACTTGAACAAAAATGAATGATTTATGATGATTTCATGTGGAATCCCATTTTATGACTCTTAGAACGAAAATGAGAGTTTTATCCATTAAAATCACATTTTATGAGATGATTAAATACTATTTACGTGCAATAACGTTTAGAATATGATGTAAATGATAAGAACGAAATGGACTTATCAATTTAGATTCAACCATTGAATCTCATAAGGCTTTGGATGTGGAAAGGTCTCTAAATGGAGCTTTTCCACCGCTGTTTTGGAAACAACGTTGGCACTACTTCTGCTATTGATGATCATCGAACACACCTTATTTTGGATGGAGCATCGAGTATGAAAAATACTCTCTCGGTGTGTGGTATCAGCCTGGGCAGCCACATGACTAATGGTCTGTTGAATGACCAAAAGTTCACCTTCATCGGGGCGGACAATTTCTTCTTCTTCATTCAGCTCTCCTTGAACCCAAAGTGGATTCATTTCTTCTTCTTCACATTCGACAACAGCCATGATCTTCTTGTTTGGGCAGTCACTAGCATAGTAACCGATGCCTTGACAACGAAAGCACTTTTGTATTCGGCTATTTGATGAACTCGGTTTTGAAAGAGGAGGAGCACTTGGTGAGGAAATAGGGTGCACGGTTTTAGGATTCTGAGGGGAGGGGGCTGTGGGGTTTTGGGAAGCAAAAGCGTGGAATTTGATGCACACGGGTAGGAAGAATTGCCACGGCTCAAAGAAGATTTGCCCTTCTTGAGTTGGGCTTCCACTTTAAGTGCCAACTTGGTCAATTCTTCAAGGCTCTCAAAGGTTTGCAGCTCCACGGTGTTGGCGATTTGGGTGTTTAGGCCAAAGAGATATCTCACAAAGGTTTGCAAGTCATTCTCTTGGAGATCACACCACATCAAGAGTTCTTCAAACTCTCGGATGTATTCTTCTACGGACCGATTTCCTTGCCTTAGGTGTTGAAGACTAGCAAAGTTTTCCCTTATATAATGAGTGGGAATGAACTTCTTCTTCAATAAAGCCCTCATCTTGGTCCATGTTTTAATAGCAGCCTTACCTTCTCTTTTGCGCTTGGTGGTAGTGTTAGTCCACCACGTAGATGCGTAGCCTCTGAATTTTAAGGCCACAAGCTTGACCTTCTTGTCATCCAGCACTTCGGTATAGTCAAAGACATGTTCAATCGTCTCTAACCATTCGATGAAATCATCCGGGTCATCTTTTCCATCGAAGGTTGGTATTTCAACCTTGAAGTCAGAGGAAGACTTCTCCTGGTTGTTTCTTCTCATGGTGGGAGAAGGAACTGCTGATTCGGCATCATCTTCTTGCTCATCTTCGCTTTCCTCTGGAGTTTGGACCATGCTCATTTTCAACTTGGTAAGTTGAGCCACATGTTTGGCCAAATACTCAACTTGAGCTTTGTGTTCGGCATTGGATGCAACCAAATCTTCCTTGGTGATGTTTTGGGAGGTGTGAGACATGTTTTAAACTAGGAAGTGAAAGAACGAAGGTAGGGCAGTAGCTAGTATGAAGGAAAGGAGAAAGAGTGGAAGTGTACGTGTTCTTGAACGAAGGTAGACTTCTCCTGGTTGTTTCCCGGGGTATAAACGAGTTGTTATTTTGAGGTGGAATCAAGGGAGGATGCAGCTTGAGTTCAAAGTTCAGGAGTTGGTGATAATCGATTATGGCTAGGTGGTAATCGATTGTGGAGCTGTGCTGCTAAAACCAAGAAACTTCAGGGACGGCAGATAGTTGATTATCAGTATATGATAATCGATTATTAGGGTTCGCAGCTTATTCCAAGGGAGTTCAGGAGGGGACAATAGTCGACTATCAATAGTTGATACTCGATTATTGGGCTTTGCAGCAGACGTTGAGAAAGTTCTGAAGGGTGGGATAGTCGATTATCTTTATTGATAATCGATTATTAAGGCAGTTGGGATTCAAAATCTGGGCGGAAAAATAGTGGTGTTTGTGTGGGGAATGGCTGGGATTAATATGGAAATGATGAAGGAGTTCTTTTGGTATTTTAATATGAGGAAAGAAAGGAGATTAAGGATAGAAATGGTGGGAAAAGAAATGGAAAGAAAATAATGATGGATAAACCAAGTTGGTGTTTAAGAAATATTACACACTCTTATCCTCACTTGGGGTTTGAATCTAGAATTTAATTAAGATATGACACACTTAATCAAATATCTAGAACCTAAAACTCACACTTAAGATAACCACTCTTAAGATATAGAATTAAGAATTTGGCTAAAATAGCATCACACTATTTTATTAATACTCAAAGAGTACTAGGGATTTTAATATTCAAAAGATGATCTTACAATGGCCATAGGGCCTGAGTTATATAGGGAGAGGGGAAGGGGAAAATACATAATACATTGAATGTGAATCATGAGGAAGCTTCCTAGAAACATCCACCTCCAAAGCATGGGGTAACCTTTCTTCAATCCTGTCTCCTTGGTGGACTAAAATCAGGGATGTGGCTGGGGTTTGTGGGGGTTTTGAGCTTTGGTTTGTATTGGTTGTCTCTTGGGTTTTAAGGCATTATTTGGGTAAAAATGTGGGGTTGTGTTTGGCCAATAAAAGGGGACATGGCTGGGCAATATTAGGGGTGGTTTTGGACATATGGGTTTGGGTTATTGTGAGGGAAACATGGGCAGGAATGAGTGGCTAGTGGTGGGTCAGGGTTTTGGCCTTTTGTGGGTATTTATGTTGGGATTGTGAGGTTTAATTGGCCAGGAAATAAACGAAGGATAGAGGGTTTTATATGTTTATTGGAAAGGCTTAAAAGAAGGAGAATAACAACAAACAAAAGGTTTTGGTTCACACATTCTTAATTTTGGCTAGGGGCTAAAATAAGAGTAGGAAAAACTTTATTTTGAAAAAGGAAATGTTTTTGGATGTTCATGGTTGGGTGGGGTGTTAGTTCGGCCTGGGGGGTGTAGGGCTACCACGGTGTCGGTTTGGGCTTTGAGATAGGGCAACATAGTGAATTTAACCCAAATAACGTTGTCATACTTCGGCCTTATTCTCCCGATCCGCCTTTCATTTGGTGGCCTACGGAAGGTCTTCGTGGATGCTCCCGGATATCTAACAATAGGTGAAAGAATGGGAGTGGTTGTGGAAGCTTGTAATAGGCTTGTTGTTGAAGTTTTTTGGAGGCTTACTTTGGGTGGTGTTTGTGGAGAAAATGGCATGGCTAGGGAGAGAGAGACTTTTGAAGTTGTTTTTGGGTACCATGTATTGGTAATCTCTGGGCAAGAACCTCTTGATCAAGAGCTTTCTCATCTTCTCCCAAGTTTGCACCTTGGCTTTTCCTTCAAGCTTTCTTTTAGTGGTAACAGTAGTCCACCAAGTCAAAGCATTCCTTTGGAATCGAGATGCCACTTGCTTTATCGCCTTGTCTTTGGGCATATCTTTGAGTGTTAAGATATGCTCAACCTTCTTGATCCACCTTAGGAATTTCTCCGCATCATTTCTTCCTTCAAAGGTAGGAATGTCCACTGAATTTGTGAACTCTCCAATCTTTTTCATCAAATGATCAAGCTCCTTCTTTAAGTTCTTCGGATCAGCTTCTAGGTCTTCGTTGAATATGTTTTGAATGGTGTGAGACATGGTTTTTAAGAAAAGAGAGTAGGTTTAAGGGTTGTGGTTTTGGGGTTGGTGTTGGCAGCAAAGAAAAGGTGGGGATAGTTGTGGTTTTGGGTGTTCTCTTTTGTCCGAGTTAACCAAGAAGAGAGGATGAGGAAATGGTTTTAGTATGGGGATGGTTTTGGGCAGGTTTTTGGGCTGTTTGGTGTGGGGTTGGTTAGGTGAACAAAGGTTAGATGGTTTTTAAGTTTTGGGGCTGGTTTTAGGGGTTTCTTTGGCCAAGAATACTAGAGAAAGATGTGAAAAAAGAGAAGGTATTGGGACTAGGTTTTAGGGCAGTATCAAAGGTGAGAGGAGTGTGGCTTTTGGAGAGGTGTTTTGGTTTGTGGTGGCTTGGGACTTGAGGGCAAAATAGCCAAGAAGAGGAATTGAATTTGAGGTTGGGTTTTGCTTAAGGAAACCAAGGAAGGATGTTATATCTAAGGCTCCGGGTGTAACGGTATTAAGTTCAAACTCAAGAAACAAAGCCCTTCGATTTTCAGGATAGGAGGATAATCGAGTATCTAGTCTGGATAATTGATTATTTGCTGGTTCAGTTTCTTGGATTTTCAGGAGGGGCTGATAGTCGATTATCAGTATGGTGATAATCGATTATAGAGGACTGCAGGAGTTTCCACAAATGAATGATAATCGATTGCCGAGGGTGATAATCGATTAATGACGCCTGCTGGTGTTTCAATGGAGGAATGATAATCAATTTTTAACAATGCTAATCGATTATTTTGACAGATTTCTGGGAACGAAATGATGGTGTTTGGGTGGGGAATGGCTAGGAAAATATGGGGATGATGAGGGAGTTCTTTT